ACACCAACTGAACACAAAGAAAAATGGCTCAAAACGTTAGCCATACTTTCAGATTTTTATTTGGCAGGGTGTTAAATTAGTTACACCAGGCTAGAATAAAATGACTATTCTGAAGACTGATTGCTGATCTCAGTAAAGCTTCGCTTTTGTGTGCCGGCAGGTTCGAATGCTTGAACAGAAGAACAAATTGGTGGAAGCAGAGATTGAGGCTTACCAGAACAGGTTCGAGAAGCCTACGGGTCTGCGCTTGCTCTATGAGGAGCAGCTGAAGGAGCTGAAAAAGATTGCTGATCAGATGAGAGTCCAACGGGTAAGGCAAAAAATATTTTACACTGCATCCCCTTTTTTCTTTTTTCTTTTTTTTCCTCTACATTTCAAATGTTCAGCAAGGCATGAAGCTTTACACCTCACTGACTTAGAAGCTCTGCTCGAACGACGCTACAAGACGTCAACTTGGTGTTTTCAGGGTTCTTTACCTGGTAAAACATGCCGATTTCTGGCAGGCAAATATAGAGGTGCCTCGGTGCGTTTGGGTGTCACAGAGTACAGCTGTCATCGGTTATGCTTTATGCACAGATGATGACTTGCTCATGCATTTGCTCGCACACAGTCACCCAGACGCAGGAGGGATGGAGGCGCAAATGGGGTTGCATGAGCTACATTCCGCATACCTCCTTAGGTTCACCTTCAAATTTAATGGGCAGTATTATGTCAGATTGACTTTTTTGGAGCTTTACATTATTCCCTCATCAAAAACATATACTTGGAGTGCTGCCTGGACTCATGCATGTTTGAGAAATCCTTTAATACTGGCAACTATTCAACTGTGCAACACTGGTGGTATAATTAAGTGCCGCCATTGACAAAGAGTGCTGTTTCAGTGCACACTCCATTCCAGTTGGTGGCGGTAGTGGACTCGTCAGGTTTTTTGCAAACCACCAAAAAACACTAAAGGAAGAAGAAGATTTTGCAATGACCTGCTCAAGGCAGAGCATTGGAAAGAGCAGGAGCTTCTTAAAGAGACAGAAGCCCAATTTGCAGGCGTTAAATTACAAAGTCATGTTTGCTATATAAAGTAATTGTATACAACTGATGGTAACATAATTATTTGATTCTGCTATAATATGGCACTATGTGTTTGGAAGAATAATACTGCCCCTTTAATGCATAACGGAGTTACTTCTGGTTATTTTCAGGACATCTCTTTTGCTGCTAAAGAGGCTGCAGCTGGTCAACTAGAGGCAATCAAAATCCGATATGAGGAGGCCTTGGAGCTGAGAAAGAAGGCTGAGTTAGAGATCGAAGCCTTCCGTCCAGTAAGTGCTATTTTATCGCTATCCAGAATCTCTGCTTGTAACGACAAGCCTGCAATCATAAACACGTTACAATCAATGGCTTTCTCTAGGATGTAGACAAAGCCACTTCCTCCCGCATTGCTTTGGAGAAAAAGCTGGAGCAGCTGGAGGTTGAAATTGAATTCTTGAAACGGATCCATCAGCAGGTAGATGAAGTGTCTGCGGGAGAAATGATTCCTGCCCAAATGATTCCTAAATGTCTCCTTTTCGCATAGGAAATCGAAGAGCTCATGAAGCAGATCTACGCCGCCCAGGTCTCGGCTGAGAGCGCCTTCTCTCTGCCGGACCTGGCTGGGGCTTTGAAGCAAATCCAAACCCAGTACGACGATATCGCAGCCAAAAACCTTCAAGTGAGTTGCTGCTAAGTGCAAAAAGACAAATCTGCACTGTGTTTTAGACTGATACCTAAAATTAGTTTAATTTCCTACCTTAGGAAATGGATTCATGGTACAAGAACAAGTTTGAAGATTTAACAAAAAAGACATCAAGACACGTAGACAAAGTTCGAAGTGTCAGGGAAGAAATAGCCGGGGCCAAGAAGGATGTGAGTATCTTAATTTGATGTACGCAAATAGAAAAGAAATTCTGCCTTCTGTCTGCACTTTGCATCATTCATTGCAAAACACTGCTAGATCCAAAACAAAGAACGTGGCTTGGACTCCCTGAGGACCAAAAACGAAGCCCTTGAAGCACGGATTCGAGAGACACTGGAAAAGCACAAGAAGGAACTGGAAGAGCTGCAGGTAAACGTTGGCTCATGTGGTCCCTGGGTGGACACCTGATTGCACCGCAGCGATCACGTAACCACCTCAGCACATCTGTTTCCACAGGCTCGGATTGAGGCCCTGCAGCTTGAGCTAAAATCCACCAAGACGAAAATTGCCCTGCACCTGCGTGAGTACCAAGAACTTTTAAACATCAAGATGGCTTTGGAGATTGAGATTACCACATACAGGTACATCCCAAGCAGCAAGGTTTTCCAATGAACTCTGTGTATTGAAGTAAACTGTGAGACAAAGAAATCATTTTGTTTTCTCTTTGCAGAAAATTAATTGAGGGGGAAGACCTGCGGCTCTCTGGCATGATGAATTCTCTCTCTGTTACCAATTGTAGCATGAGCGCCATTGGTACTCGAGTGAGCATTAGCGGAGGAAGCATTGAAGGTGTTGGCGGTTTGGGTGGTGGACCAATAGGAGGCAGCAGAGGAGGAGTTGGAGGCATAACGGGTGGTTTGGGGTTGAGTGTGGATATGGTTGCCGGAGTCACGGGATCACGCCCTGGCGATGGAAAAGTTGCGGATGGCAGGAGTACCAGCGATATGAAAGGTCCTGCTGGCAGAGCAGGTATTGCCGGCATGCATGGTGGTCATGAACAGGGAGGTGTAGGTGTCAGAGCTGGTGATGGGAGCCTTGGCACTGATGGAAGAATGAGTGCTTCTGGTGCTAGTGGTTTTGGCTCTGGTAGCTTTGGTCCTGGTTCTGGTAAAGTGGGTACAGTTGGCTCTGGTGCTGGTGTTTTAGGCGCTGGTCCAGAGGGTTCAGGTTTTGGCAGTCCAGATTTAGGTACTGACGTTGGTGGTGAGGGATCTATCCAAAGAGGAATGGGGGACAGAAGTGGAATCGGAGCACATGCAGATGGTGACATCTCAGGGTTAGCAGGTGGTGTGGGTGCCGCTGGAGTTGGATTCAAAAGAGGATACAGCGGTGAGATGGAAGGCAGAAGTTCTGGTTTGGATACTGGTGTTGGTGGGGTAGGATTTGGCTCTGGGGGGGTAGGTGACAGCAGTGGAGTTGAAACAGGTGCAGATGGAGACATCTTGAGCTCAGTAGGTGGTATACATGCAGCTGAAGCTGAGATTAAGGGTGTTGGGTTGGACACTGGTGTTAGTGGTGTGGCACTTACTTCCAGAGGAATGGGTGGCAGCGGTGGGGTTGGCACACAATTGGATGGTGACATCTCAGGTGGTGTGAGTGGAGCTGGATTGGGACTTGGAAGAGGTGGTGCAGCTGAGGGCAAGGGCACTAGGGCTGATGGTGGAATGGGTGGTGATGGAGGTACAGCCCGTGGAGTGGCACTTTCTGAAACCCAAAGAGGAATCTCAGGTGCTGCTGGATCTGCAGCGAGGGGCGGGGACGATGTGGGTGTTGCTCTGTCAGGTGGTGGTGGAGTTGGTGGAGTTGGTAGGATTGGTGGAGGGAAGGATGACATATGTGGTGTCAAGATTGGATCCGGACCGGATGGCTTTGACAGCAACACCAAGTCCTATGTGGAGCAGGCTGTGGAGCTGACAGAGAGAAGAACAGTGCTTATTAGGTAAAAGTACCGTTGCTCTCAACTTTTTGAATAAACCCTCTTTAAAACGCGTGACTCAAACTCGGACACTGTAACCAAACTAATTTGGTAACACTGATCCTCATGGTTCATATGAGTTTAACTACAGCTCCACCAGTTATCAGAGTATTCCTCATTATGCTGTCTCGTCTTTTCTCCTCCGCTACAGAACAGTTAAAAAGGAGGATGATGTGCTGGAGATGGACCACCAGGAACAGAAATACACCATCACTGGCGCTGCTGATGACTCCGATGTCGAGTGAGGATCACAAACTCCCCAGTGACCTCCTCTCACCCTTAAACCTCCTTACCTTTTGAGCTTTGCACTGACCAAAAAAAAAGGTCCCATGTTTGGGTGCTGACCTTTGCCATATGGCCTGGACAAGAGAACCATGAATGACCCCTTGCTACACACTGAAAATACACTGCTCAAAAAAATAAAGGGAACACTCAAATAACACATCCTAGATCTGAATGAATGAAATATTCTCATTGAATACTTTGTTCTGTACAAAGTTGAATGTGCTGACAACAAAATCACACAAATATCATCAATGGAAATCAAATTTATTAACCAATGGAGGCCTGGATTTGGAGCCACACACAAAATTAAAGTGAAATGTTCCCTTTATATGTATATATATATATATATATATATATATATATATATATATATATATATATATATATATATATATATATATATATATATATAAACACAGGCCATGACTTCTCGACTTTTATGTGCCTTATACTCCCCCCTCCTTGTTTCCCACCTGGCATAAATAAAGTTACCAGCATTCAATAACCGTGTCTTTCTTTTATTTGATCTCTTCAAGAAAGAATTTTGGTTCAGGACCGAGAAGGCTGTTTAGTGAATTGACCTAGTGGTGATAATTTTCTAAACATAAAGAGATACAGTGCTTTTGCAAAGCTATGTAAATCATTTAAAAAAATTTCACAACTGGTCATGTTACAACCATCAACTTGCTAAATCTATCCTCTCGTCCTTACAAATAAGTAAACAAGTAGTACTCAAGAAGTACACAAGGTGTGTGAGTACTTCAGCAAAGCGCTGCATGAGGCTGTGGATTGATAAAGGGTGAGGAAGAAGCGAGGGAGCAGACAGACGCGGCCAGAGACACCTGGGGGTCGCGGGGGGACGTCCTGACACTTCCCGGTGGGCTGAAGAATCAGTCAGTCAAATCCCGGGCCGTGAGAAGTGACGGCTCACAGCCGTTTTCTGTCCTCATTCCATCCACATCCACACCTTCTTTTCCTGCTGCTGATTGGGAGAGATTGGATCTGGGCGCCATGTGCCAAACACGCTTAGCGTCCGGCTCCGGGGACACAGAGTGGAGAAATGCAACAAACCTCAAGAGCTAGACGATCAATGTTAGGACGGAGGGAGATTTCTCTGGCTGTCATTCATTTATTTATTTACTTATTTTTAAAATCATCAAAATCACGTAAAAGCAGAATTCATGTTTGATTCTAAAACTGTACAATGACAAAAAAAAAAAAAAAAAAAAAAAAAAAAGGTTTATGGTTCTTTATCATTGTCGGGGGAGGGAGCTATTTGCAAAAAATATGTGTTTGTAAAGAAATTATCTTAAAAAGAACATTTAATACTTTTAGTTTAATCACACGCTAGATATAAACAAAGATTATTCAATTACAATTTTTATTTTTATTTTATTTTATATTCTATTTAAATCAGAGCCTGCCCAAGATCGCACGGAGTCACAAACAGGATTGGGTTTTGTGGCCCAATTTCAGTAAAGTCCACCTCCACCCACATACAACCAACCGTCACCCTAAAATCAATTTTAATTTGTCGCAGTTTGATTATTATTATTATATTTTTATACATAAAATCCCCTTAGTTTCGTGATTGCTAAGCCAATCAAAGTTAGTTCACATTATTAAATCAATAAATAACTCAAAATAAGCTTTACTTTTAAAGAAGTTTTTAAGTTGTTTCATCCTTCTTGAATATGCCTAGTTTTAAATTAACATTATTTGTTGCCTTATGGGCTTGCCATAATTTAAAGACAGATATACGGAGCACATTAAAACTGCACTGTTTGATCCATTGCATGTGCATGGAAATCATTTGCAAGATTAGCCTGCATACTTCACTCATGCGTCACTTCCACAAGCTCACCCCACCTGAACTCTGATGAGTCAATTAGTTTGAACCCAGAACTGTCAGTCGCGCATACAGGCCCCGCATAATGAGGAGTCTGTGGACGGTGCAGCCATTAGATAACATTTTGTTGCAGCGTATTAGGAGTGCGGTGTGCAGCCAACCCGAAGGACGTCCAAAAACAACAATACCGGTCTGGGTTACAAAATTACAGAGTGAGACGTCGCTTTAATGTAAGTGATGAGACTAAGTAAACAGAGTGTGCGTGCTTGCGTGCGTGGAGCTCTCCGTGGTGCTTTGTCTAGGACGCAAATTGTCACTTTTTTTTTTTGCGCACAGCTCTCCTCTCATGCACCTTTTCATAGAACGCGTTCGAACGTTTGTAATCATAATTCTAGTATAGATAAGTCTCTCTCTATATAACCCTGAAACAATAAGGACTGTTATTTCCAAGCGTAAATTCTTAATTCTGGTCAATGTATTTTTTTCATCACACACCCAATCAGTCACACAGAAGTCAAAGCAGCATGTCTCTAAACGTGCTCTTTGCCACTGGAGTTTGTTTTGCTCTCACTTTTAGGTTGCAGAAACAACCCAAAAGTCCCAGCTGGGTCAGTAACCTCCATCCCCATGAGAAACATGCGGATTTACTTAGAATATTCTCCAAAGAGGGCAAAAGTTGAGACTTCTCTTTGAAACCAGCCATTTTCTGTCACTTTGTGGACATGCTTTGGGTGACTTAAAAAAAAAAATCCCCCAATTAGGGTCGGCTGACACGCCGCTCCATTCACCGGCAGCCATGCCTGCATACAATTTGCCTTAGGAACGAACTCCTTTAAATGGGCCCGCCGCTAAATGCGCCGGACAGCAGAGAGAATCGGCCTGAGTGACACTTGCTTTCTGAGGCGCTCGAGTGAGAAAAGGTATGAATTTATAAGGAAACACCGAAACATATCAATTCACGCAACTTCTCACGCGTCTTTATCCGCGTCTCCTCATGCGAGAGGAAGCGGCCTTAAGTGAGGAACTTTGTTCAGACTTTGAATGCCAAAGCGGTGCAGCCCACTTCAAGGAGGCGATGAAGAAGAAGGAGGAAAAAAATAACAGAGAGAGGGGAGGCATTCTGAATGACATCACGCATGAACAGCGCTGAATCAGGTGCCGTTTACTCGGCCGCTCTCTAATGCGATTTTGAATATTAGTCTGGCCTTAAAATCCCAATCATGTCATCTGGTGGGAGTCCCATACAAGCATAATTACTATTCAAACGCGTCGCTAATGTCCCACCCGCACCCAGGCAGCTGGTCTGCTCCTGCGGGGCGCAGGCTGCATCTTTCCCCAGGATTCCCAGGGAGCAAAACATCTTTAAGTCAATGCTTTGGGTTCAATGCACTATAAAAAGAAACTATATGTGGGTGTTAAATAATGTGCCATTAAGGTTTCAATTAAGCCTATTGGTGTGCAATGCTTTAATCAATAATAATTCAGGTCAAACACTGGCTAATTTCAGAGACTCTACAATTCTATCATAAATTGTTGTCAGGTGTTTTTTCAATTATGTGCAGTCAGGAGGTGAGTGATACATTCACATGGGTCAATTAAGCGTTAAGAACTGCCATAAAACTTATGGTTGTGAATGCTTCTGTGTCGGAGCAAAACCTTATTACATAGCATTGCCAACTTTCCCGTATTGTGTCCCGTATTTTAGGTATAAGTTATAGCTTTGACTAGCTTAGCGTTAGCAGTGATCCTAAAGCCAGACTTTTTACAGTATTCTGTGAAAAGGAATCTTTCACAGACTAATAATTGCTATGAAATAGTTGTCATTAAAATGCTTAAAATTTTAGCAAAGCTTCAAAGTCGTGCTTGAGAAACCTGATGGAGCAAAATGAAAGTTTACATCTAAGCTTTAACCCGTCCAGTGAAAGCACTAAAGCTAAAGTCAAACCTCTTTAATTAAAAAAAAATATATCTTGGTGACAAATCCTACCTAAACATTCTGATTAGCATGTTGGAGTTGGTTCCAACCATCATGTTGTTGCTTGGTGTGTGCTGGAAACAGTAAGGCAAAATGTGAGTTGAATTAACAAAGAATATATCAACTTAGTCAAATTTAAGGACTGTAACAAGTCAGTGTTGAAGCAATTTTGCATAAATCTTTAACATGTTTAACATCAGTGCAAAAAGCTGTAGTCAAACTTGCTAGCAAGGTATGCTATAAAATTAATATTTTGAACAGTATTGAGTATTAGCAGCTGAATTTGAATTTCTAAAAGGCTATTAGTTTGTGAATCTAAGGGAAAAAATTGTTTTAACAGCTAGCACAGAGCATATCATTTTAGATAACTTAGATTATGCTAACACTAAAGTCAAGCTTGCTAGTATGCCTCATTGTTACAAGAACTTTTATTAACACTTTTATTCCAAAACATATATATTTATTGTCTTAACGAAGTGTTTTAGTTTGGAAATACAATGCTCAACAATGGTTTAATTTGAACAACAGCTACTTTTTTGGTAAGAAATTCTAAATATTTGTATGAATATTGATTCTGTCAAACGTTGCCATTCATTGTTGCAGACAGTATAAAAGTGTATGAAAGTTCATAACCATTTAATGTTTAATTTTGCAATTTATCTAGTTTAACAAAGGAGGATACACAATGCAATAGAAACAAAGTGATTATAAAACCGAGTGATTTTTTTTCACCGTTAAATGTACATAATTTCAGAAATACTGATTAAAATCTGGCCAGACCAAAGTGGTGTAATCCCCACCCCTTCTCCCACCCAACACCTCCACCCATCTCTCTTCTCTTTTCCTACATCTGAAGCGAACGATAATAACTTCTGGTTGTTCGAAAACACCGAAGATTTAGGTTTTCTTCGCTTCAATGCAGGGAAATAGATGTGTGGCAAATAAACCGATTCTGGGACAAACGCGGAGGGATCTCTGCAACGTGGGAAACGGGCCGCGCTGTAAACTGGGACAATGATTGGGCCCTTCCAACGTCCTGAATAGAGAAAAGTTTATGGGGTCGACATAAAAAATGTGTTTTCTCTCCTGCGGCTCAGGAAGGTCTCAAATGGAAGGCCAATAAAGGCGGAACAGGAGAGGTGGTTGTTGTTGGTGGTGAACCTTTGGCACAAGTGAAGTAAGGCCCCGCAGTCACGGAGTCTGAATGGAGATCCCTGGTGGGGCATTGCGGTCTGTATTTACCGCGTTGCTTTGCAGGCAGGTTGTTCCTCTATATTCATGGCTCATTAATGGGCCAACCAGTTAAATCAGCGAGCCCCACCGTTTAGACAGATGAATTCCCCTCCCCCTTAAAAAAAAAAAAACGGGGGAGGGAGCTGGCCGGAGTGGACAGAGCCGCCCATAAAAACGTCGCCCTCCTTCTCCCAGCTCCGATTCTTCTCTCAGATCGTTATTTAAGTTCATTAAAGAGATTGAGCTCCTGCATATAGAAGCGCATTTAATTGACTCCACAATATTGTTCCCGAATAAAGATCCAAGCATGTAATTAATGTCTTTTTTTAAATAAAAGAGAGGATGAACAATACCCCTGGTGAGGCCATTTAATTTCATTTAATTTTCCATCCCATTTGCTCCCAATGCTGCCTTCACTCTCACACCGAGTCTTTTGGCCGCTCCTCGGGGCTCCAAGGCGCACTGTGCGCCGGGGATTCACCACAGAGGATTCTCCGCAAAACAGAAGGGAAATCTCTCTCTCTCTCTCTCTCTCTCTCTCTCTCTCTGTTCTCCTCCTATCCTCTCACCCTCCGCCCCCTTCTTTAGGAGATTAATTAATTTCACTGTGGAGTAAGGTGCGGGACGCATGGGATGGGAACCAGTCGCAAAAGGCCGGGCATTAATAAATAACCCCTCCGCTCAGCCGGGCGCAAACATTGCGCCCATTGACGAGGTTGTTCGCGTGTCGTTCGGATGGTTTTTGAAAGAGCGCAGGGAGGAGAATGGACAATCTGACAAAGGCTCGCTTTTAGATAAATAAGATATGGCGATAGATTTTTTTTCTTTTTTTGAATTAACCATTAAGCACAACTTGTTACTGTGCATACTTTTTTTTAGGCTGTAATCGATTTTTCTGAATTAAAAAAAAAGTACATTTAGCAGCTGAAAGATGGTGAAATAAGTCAATTTAAATGTCAATTTTAGTTGCAGAAACAGACAACAAAAAATAGCGGATGCAATTAGAGCATAAAATTAGTGAAATACTAAAAAAAAATAATCTATATGAATAAGGCTAACCTTTGTGACGGACACTGATAAGACATTCGTTGGCAAGGACTGTCCTTATAGGAGCAACTTTAAGATTTACAGCCAAACTAAAGAGCCACTTCTTAAATTCATGATCCAAACTCAGAAATGTTCTCAACTGCAAGGCTTGTACCATTTACTTTTACTCATGTAAATACATCAGCCATTTTATGCAGCACACATGAATGAACCAACATTTGTGAAAATGTTTTTGGTATCTTGTTGAAAATGGAGGCTTGTGAAGAGGGGCGTGGCTTCTTCCAAGTTTCATCTTTAACCCAACCGATGGGTAAATCTACTTAACCCCTTACCCAACATAAGTGTTCAAGCTGTAGACTTCCGGTAAATTTCTGTCCCAACTCTTTAGTTATGAATTTTGACCCAATATTGGGTCAAACTAACCCAACCTATGACCCAACCCAGAAATTGGGTTATGAAAATAACCCAGCATTTTTTACTGTGTAGGAATTGTTACCATATTTAAATGACTACAATGTAACACGTTTCCAAAGTCGTTTTTTACAGTGTGTAGTGTCTGTCGTTCCTCCAGTCTGGTTTTCTCAGTAGGTTTTACTTTAATTGGGAGGCCAGAGTGGAGAGGTCAGAGGTCAGTTTAGGCATGGTCTGGACTGACCGCCTACAGGTTGTTGTTGCTCATCTCTGACCCGACAACAAACCCTTAAATTACCCGTTCTCATCTTAATTACACTTTGATTATCATCATTTTCTTTCCGAATAAGTGGCTTTTTAATAAATAAATAAATAAATAAATAAATAAATAACTCATAGTTTCAAGAACTAAACAGAGTAAGCAGTTGCTCTGACGGAAATTTTTATATCGGAAATCCTCCTTTGAAGGCCACGTGTTGATGTCGAAACTACGGTCATTTAATCTTTTCTCTTCCACGAATATTTTTCGATAAAACCTCTCACCTCACCATGCAAGAACCTGCA